GTAAACCCTGCAGGTTGTCATTAATGATGATTTCCCCCAGAGTATCAGGTAGCATGTGTGCCGCGAGGCAGTGATCTATCATGAGCAGATAGTCAGTTGAGACTGGATAATTGAGGGCCACGCTATACCTAATTGAGTTTAGTCGGGTGCACGGTAGTGGTATCAGCGGGAGTTCAGTCGAGTTCAGCGGTGTCGAGAGTTTTCTATCCATGGGGTGTTGAATTTGGGAGTGGGTTCCTGTTCTTGGGATGATCCCGGTGTTGGAGCATTGGTTAATGAGTTGAGGTGAGGGGTACGATGATTTTATGGTCCAGTCTATGAGCCAGGGATGTTATCGAGCAGTTGAGTTGTTTGGTACTAAATTGGTACGAGATTTGGAACGACTAGAGGCAGACGTGACGAGAAGTTCTTGAGGAGTTCATCAGAGGTTCAGAGTATATGAGGTCGATTCACTTCCTTAAAGGGGGATTATCGGGCGTTGTGTAGCACTTTCCAGGGGCAGGTGCGATTTTGCTGGAGAATATAGTTATGGGTTAGTTGCATGCTATTTGGTGATGGTTCGATCCCTAAGTGGGGGAGAACCGGGTGCCGTATGTAAGAAAGCAGAGATTTGTCAAGAGCAGTTATAAGTGGAGTATAGAGATATGAGGTAAGAAATCATGAGACCAGAGATGTCGGTGATCGAGGAAAGGGGTCAGAGTGAGTTAATACGGGAAGTACTTGTTTGAGAAGGATGAATGTCTCCACGACAGGTGTTTATTAGTCAGGAATCTGGTATTGGTCAGTGTTGGGGCAAGTAGATAAAGAATGATTGGGCAGCCAACTCCCGGGTCGGTATGCGTATCCTTGTTTGGATTTTGAGCGGCGGGAAAAAGGGTTTCGGAGAATTATCAGCGTATTTCGTAGCGTTAGCGTTTCTTCGTATTGCAATTGAGAAATTGAATACACCGAAGTTGCAACTTGGGAAAAATGAAGATCTAGTTATGGGGTTCAGAGGGAATGTATTATTGCATCTATATGGTGCTTGGAGCAGGAGATCTGTGGTTGTGGCAGGATCTTGTGATGTTCGGTGGGGGTGTTCCGAGGTATCCGGGTATTGATATCTTTATTTCAAAGTTATTCGTGAATCTTGAGTTGAGACGACTTGTGGTATATCAGGTATCTATGGATCTAGTGAGAGCCTTCGAGTATGGGCATCCAGGGAGATTACTTGGGAGAGTGGATCTTCGCAAGGGTGGGCATCTGTTATGATGATTGCCTCCAGAGTCTGTGATGAATATTCGAGACGAGTATGGGTAGCCGCCTATGATAGTCTGTGGAGCACGAACTAGTGGAGTCAGAGGGTGTTGTGATACTGCGGGGAGCCGTAGTACTCACTAGTCAGAGGGTGTTGTGATACTGCGGGGAGCCGTAGTACTCACTAGTCAGAGGGTGTTGTGATACTGCGGAGAGCTGTAGTACTCACTAGTCAGAGGGTGTTGTGATACTGCGGGGAGCCGTAGTACTCACTAGTCAGAGGGTGTGTGATACTAGTGCTCACTACCGCAGGGAACCGTAGTGCTCACTAGATGGCAAGAGAGTGTGATGATGGAATGTTCTCCGATCAGTGTATGATGTGGAAGAGTTTTGGGCTTGAGTAGCCCTAGTATTGAGTTTTTGGAGCCTGGATGTTGGACCGGGGGCGAGACTGGGGTCCCCGTCTCTGTCAGGGAATGTGGTGAGATGCGCAAGGGATATGCGCAGCAGAAACCAGAGATCAGAGTGGAGACGATCCTCGATTGGATTGTACTTTCTTGCATAAGGAAAAGAGAATTTCGTGACTTGCGTGTCACGGGGCCGGGATAGTGGCCACGGGGAGGAAGTTAGTGGGATATTTGGATCATGATTTGGGTGACCTTTGGAGGCTCAGTTGTGGAGTCAAAAGCTGACCTGGTGACCAGTCTCGAAGAGGGATATGAGATGAGCTAGAGCCTATCATGATGATGTCTGAGGACACCTCAGAGGGAGTGAACGATTCAGACGCTCAAAGACATGCTTCGGGCATGTGTATTAGATTTCGGAGGGTGTTGCGGCACGTATTTATCCTTGGTTGAGTTATCGTATTTCAACAGCCATCATTAGTGCATTGGTATGCCACCCTTTGCGCTGTTGTATGGGAGCAAGTGTCGGAACCTCATTTGCTGAGGAAAGTGTCGATTCGCGGAAGTGGAAGTTGTAGTGAGAATGGATGATTTGGAGTATGATGGTCGAACATTGTGTCTGTGACAGTGGTATGGAATGACATCATGATGGGATGTCTGCTGAGGGTGCGGAAGGGATTCCACGGGTGTAGAGCCAAGAGTCTCAGGATGGATGTAGGGATGGAGTCTGGGACTTCCAGCTTGATTCTGATCAAGGGCCGTGTGCGTAGTGGTGGTGTCTCCTGGGAATGTTAGAGATGTCATCAGTGCGACGGGTTCTCCTAACCCGAGAGTGCGAAGGTTGGTGCGGCTTGGGTGCTTGATTGCAAGAAGAGGACTCATGAGAGTTGCTCTGGGATTGAAGAGTGGGCCTTTCTGTCGTCACGGATTGGATAGAATGGGATTCAGATCGGGGATCCGATGGTTCATGGCTTCTAACCCTTATGGGTCGAGTGATTGTTGAGATTTGGGTCAGTGATGTTTCATGGGTAATTCTCGGATCGTTGAGTGTGGTTATCAGAGGGTACATCCGGTGCCCGGTTCGAGACAGTGGTCAGGACACCGTAAGGAAAGGAAAAGTATGTTCAAGTTTCGATGGGTATGCCTTGTGAGATTTGGTCCGATTAAGGCCAGGTGGCATGTTGTGGGAGTATTTCTGGAGTTGAGTTGCTGTAGGCTTCGAGGGCGAAGCCTAATTTAAGTGGGGGAGAATTGTAACATCCCGAAATATCAAGAGTAGAGTTGAAGGGCTAAAAGAGTAAATTGGGAAAGAGTGACTCGGCGAGTCCATGTGCGGACTCGGCGAGTAGGGTCGCGACCCCTGGTCGCGCGTTAAGTGGCCGACTCGGCGAGTCAGTGTAATGGACTCGGCGAGTAGGCGCTGAGTGGAGAAAACCCTAATTCTCGGTGTTGAGCCTTATATAAAGATCAATATGTTTTCCTCCCAGCCTCTTTATCACCCCTTGAGCCCTAGAAAACCCTAAATCACGGAGAAGCACCATTGTTGAGTGGATTGGAGCTTGGAGAAGTAATGGTTGAAGGAATTTTGGGAAGAAATGAAGGCTTGGAGTAAGGGGATTTGCTTGGATTTGAATTTCATTGCAGTTGGGGCATCACTTAGAGGTAATATCTCGTTATTAACCTGTTGTTATGTTGTTTCTTCATTTTGGGGTTTGTGAGAAATTGTCTATGGATGAAATGGGAAGTCTAGAGGTTAGATCTGAGGTTGCTACCTCAGATCTGGAAGGGAGAAGAATCAGAGAGCATGAAAGTCCCTGTGTTGGAGTGTTTAGTGAAGCTTACATGTCCCAAACCCTAGCCCCAATGTGCAAACAGCTTAGATCTCTTTGGATTCACGTAAAGAGTGCCACTTTACGTGATGGATGGGTTGTAGGAGGCTAGATCTATGTTTTGGATCAATTGCATGGCCTGGAGTGCTTCTGAATGGATTCAGAACGGTGGTACTCGGCGAGTCACATGGGTCGACTCGACGAGTTGGAAGAACAACTCGGCGAGTAGGTTGAAGATAGCCTTGGACTCGACGAGTCTTGTCGAAGAGTCCCAAATATTCTCTGGTTGAGTCAAGAATCGGTGAGTCGAGGGATGACTCGGTGAGTCGTGTGCGAGTGGACTCAGAGTTGTTGGACTCGACGAGTTTCGGGGTGACTCGGCGAGTTAGGTCGCAGATTGAGTGAAGTTCTGATTATGGGAACTCGACGAGTCACAGGGTTGACTCGGCGAGTAGGGTCAGTCAGGGGTTGACTTAGACTGAGGACTTTGATTTCGACCAAGGGTTGGCCGTTGACTTTTAGGGTTTGGTCAGCGATGTGGCCTTTGGGCCAAGAGAAAGGTAAAATAGTCTTTTACCCATAAGAGGGTGTTATGAGAGGATTTATTCTAGTCTCGAGAGTTATATTCATGAGAGTATTTTCCTTACGTGTTAAGCGGTGGCGAGTTCGAGATTCAAGTGTGGGGATATCTGCTTTCTGCTTGCCAGGTGAGTCTTCTCACTATACTTTACCTTGAGTAGGTAACCAGAGTTATGTGATCAGAGTATTTGTATGCTATATGTACGTGATGTGTTGTACTGCATTATTTCTATGTGATTTATGTTGTGCATGTTATAGAGTTGGAACCGGAAGGTTCCCAGAGTTAGAACCTGAGGGTTCACAGAGTTTGGGTGCACAGACCCATAGAGTTATAGCCTCGAGTGGCTAATATGTGTTATGTGGTGTATTTTGGGGAACTCACTAAGCTTCGTGCTTACAGTGTTTTGTGTGATGTTTTTTTCAGGTTTCTTTCAGTATCACGGGACGGCACCGGCTTGATTGTACACACCAGAGAAAGAGTCATATTTTGGAGGATCCTGGTTTTCTATGCAAGTGAAAATGGAGTCATGTTTTGTAAATCGACTATGAATGAGATTTTAAACAAGTGTTTCTAAAAATAAAATGATTATTTTAAAAGAAAATTTTGTCTTGAAATTTACGGTGTTACATAATGACATCCTTAAATTTTAAATATTTAATGTATTAGATTTGTTCTCGGGTTCTTAACCTTTTAAGCGTTCTCATTTGATCATTCTCTCTCTCTCTCTCTATATATATATATATATATATATATATATATATATATATATATATATATATATATATATATATATATATATATATATATATATATATATATATATAGAGAGAGAGAGAGAGAACCCTAAAAAAAATTTACGACCCTAAAAATTTTTTTAGCTCCGCCCATGCACCCATAGGTTTGACCTTTTCTTTAACCAAAAAGTAGGTTATCAATTCATCTTGTCAAGTCTCAAACTTTGACCGCATAACCACGAACAACTTGATCGATCTTAGTGCGACAAACCGGGTAACCACAATTCTTTCCTTTGACTTCATCCAAACATGACATGCATCCAGCCATGTGTCCACACGGGATACATACCCCCTCAATCGGTGCATCCAAACATATAACACATGTTGAAGAATCTTTATTCTCTTTCTCCTTCTCAATTAGAGTGGAATCAGTGGATATGTAGTGAACCAGATCATCATCCATAATGTCTGAAATCGGAGGTGCTGATGAGACTGTGGGTGGTGGGTAATTGACTGAATTGCGACTTGTTCCTGCATCATTGTTTTGCCATTGGCTCTTTTCCTTGTTTTGAGTGATCGGGTTGGTGATCTTGGTTATCTGGGTTGGTGATCTGATACTGGAGGCTTGAATGTTGAATGAATGAGGACGTCTAATCTGAAATGTGTAAGAATATGAGTGTGCAGTGTGCTGACGCAAAGCATTCTATATGTACGCTTTTAGGAAAGAATTTACAAAGGCTAGCGATGGATTTAGTAGATGATTTACCGGAGAAATTTCTCTGCATGCAGTACAATATCGCTTCAATTGTTGGTTTTCATTTTCGTTAACAGGTGAAAGTACGATGTATGATTCTTGTGTAGGTAAAAACGAACTAAAGTTTAGGCAACAAAAAGTGATTTTGTTTTTGTTTTTGGGAAGTCTAAATGTCTAATCTTACTTCAACTCAACAAACCTACGCCAAGTGTCTCATGACTATAAATATAAAAGGAAAAAATATTAACATAAAATAATACAAATTCTACAACTAAATAAGTGTAATCCAAAAGTATCAAGAAATTACTGTTGGAAATAGAAATGACAACTGAAGGATCGGGCTGGTTAAATTTTGGTTCATCAATGTACGCCTTCCACAGTGGAATAATACAAGTGTTTCTTTTGACTTATCTGAAAAGGACAACGTACCTCTAAGCTAGAATATATAACTTGAAAGGCTTTGTAAGCTTACGTGCTCCACATCGAACTATAACTACCCACCTGCAAATAGAACCATTAATTAAATATTGTAACTATTTATCAATAGTCCTATATTTAATATTTATTGCTATTAAAATGAAATGCTTACACTTTTCTTGGAGGTGGTTGAGCAAACCCTGGCACAATATAAAGCGCTCGCAGCCAACCAGAGAATAAGCATATGTGGTTCTAAAAGAATTGCATTAAACCCAATATAAGATCATTAATTCATTACAATTTCACATAGTAGAACTTTATAAGATCCAAATGAATGAAAAATGCGTATGTACCTCAATTGCACGAACAACATTGCTATATCCATTGAGTCTTGCAACATCAAGTGCAGTTTGACCATTGTTCATCAACAAGGCACTAGCTGAAAATTGAGATGATAAATATTTCGTAAGCAATTAATTGGTTACATATAATATGACATGACAAGATTTCTTGGGAAACTTTTGAGTCCAAAATCCAATTTTTTACGTTTGTTCCAATTTTTTATGTTATGTCATTTACCATGATGGGGATAAATAAAGTAACCAACAATATAGTAGTAACGTTGTCATTGATTAAAAAGCACACACCACCATGTAAAAGCAGTAGCTTAACAATCTGTTCTAGGCCTTTTTTTGCAGCATGATGAGATGAAGAGCAGTTCCAATGACAACCTGAAGAATTTGTTACGATAAGTGAGAAAAAATTACCATGGCCAACTGAGAGGCCAAATAACATATATACCTTCTTTATGATGCATCAAGGAGCAAACCAAGACACCTGGGCGATAGTAGTTCACATTCGTACCTAATTCTAACAAGGTTTTTGCTACATTATAACATGGAAGCCAATATCAGAGGAGTGTATCCGTCCTTGTCCTTCCACTATATTAAAGACAACAGATTTGACACATTAATCCGATAATTTCGTCACTAATAATTGTTAAGGTACAATATATATAGAAAAATTAAATTAGTCTCAATTTGACGCAAAACCCACATCCATGTAAATTAAAGAGAACTGGATCTGATTGTTTTAATAACAGGATTATGCTTCAATCTTCTAAAGGGGTGCAAGCTAAGTAGATAACTTAATGTGATATATCGCCATGTGCTGATGAGACAAATGGCCTCCAACGTTGAACTCTGAAAAAGTTAGTTCAACTTCTAACTGCAAACCATGAAGTCTTCATAAGGAATGAGTACATTTTTACGCATACCTCAAGGCTAGCACCTATCCTGTGAAAGTGTTTAATGCGTTTAATGTTACCAATTCTGACTTGTTGATACAAAAGCTGGTCTTGGATTGCTGTAAACCCATTTCATAAGAAAATTTATCAAAAAAAAAAATTAAAAAAAACGTTTTGTAGGCTTGATTTAGGATCAAGGGTTTTATAAAAAACTTTGACGCAAATTTATATAGAGTAAACCCTGGAATCTACAATCCTACCTGCGTATCCAAAGATTTGATTTGAAATTATCCCAAATTTTAGTTATTCAAATTTTTGTATATCCCATTTTTTTGGATTCCCTTAGTTATAAAAAAGTTTTCCTACATTTCGCATATCTAAAATCCGAAATATACTTCGTTTATTAACTTTTTTAAAGTTTTATTTATTATTTAGAAAATGAAATCAAATGAACTTATTGATAGGTTTTCTAGTATTTTATCTAGGTTTCTTTTGTTCTAGCAACCTACTTTAAAAAAATAAAGAAATACTAACCTCTTGATCTTTCTTGTTGATTTTTTGACTGTGATATTATAATGGGAAAATACTGGTAATAGTCAAAAAATATGGAGTATTTTCAAATTTTAGACATGAAAATCGACATTTCCGGGTATAGATATGAATTTCGCGGAGGTAGCTCCGCAGAGCTCCGCGGAATGGCAAAATCGTAATTAAATCAACGTATAAAAAAAAAAATAAAAAAAACTCAAGATCTATTCCGCGGAGCTACAGTAAATTCCGCGGAGGTAGCTCCGAGGAATGGATATTGAGGTTTTTTTTTCTGTATCGATTCTTCGGAGTTTATATTCATTACCCAACTAATTATTTTCAAAAAAAAGATTATCATACTATCATGATCTTTTCTTGAAAATAATTAATTGGTGAATAAATATAAACCCCGAAAAATTGATGCGAATAAATAAATAAATAAATAACTCAAGATCCATTCATCGGAGCTCCGCGGAATCTACTGTAGCTCCGCGGAATGGATCTTGAGTTTTTTTTTACGTTGATTTATTTACGATTTTGTCATTTCGCGGAGCTACAGTGGATTCCGCGGAATGCATGTCTATACCCGAAAATATCCATTTTCATGTCTAAATTTTGAAAATACCCCTTATTTTTTGGCATGCATAGATGGGAGGACCCATATTAGAAATCCCTCTAGTGGAATCACACATAAAACTCCAAAAAGAGCAAAACCAAAAATAACTAGGAGAGAGGCTTGATCAAAAATTCTACAAACCCTAAGAGGGTTAAGAAATTCTATCTTCCTCAAGAGAATAGAAGGGAGAACAAATATTCCAAAAAAAGAATCTATGTGGAGGGTTTGATCCTTAGAACCATATTTATAGATCTTAGATCATTACCCAACTTGTATCTCCTATCTAATGAGAGATAGATGCATATAGGGTCACACATTATAACAAGTTATTACAATTGATTATTTATTAAAATAATTTTGATTATTAATAAATATAATCAATATTTGTATTTAACTGGAGAATTATTATTTTATGAAAATAATAGATTTAACGACTAATTGAGAAATTACTATTTCTAGGAAATAATAATAAAAGAGAACAAAATTATATATATTCATAAGGTATGAATATATATGTTATGTGAAAATTAATGATAGATTTTCTAGGTTACATTAAAACATATTTACATAGTGAAATTTCCATAAACAATTTATGGGTACATTCAACCTAAAGATCTATGACATTTTCTCATTATAACAACATACTATGAAACTTTCAAACCAACCTACTTGTAATAAAAATTCACAAGGATTAATATACATACCTTTGTTATAATCGAATATAATAAACCGTGTATTTAAGTATTCTAAAGCTTCATGGAAAGCAAACATCCAATAATGTGAATGTGTTTAATGGTTCACACCCAAAACCATAGAACACTAGAAAGACAAGAAGAGAGAAGGGCGAGGAAGAGAAATTTCATTCTCTGCCTTATGGGAATAGAGAACCACGAAATTTGATGCCCAGTGGGAGGTATTTATAGATAGGGAATCTCCAGGATAAACTCTGATTTAAATAATAAAATAATATGATTTTATCTATTCAAGACAGTTATCCTTATCAACTATAGTAGGCCTCTAGAAACCCTAGAAACCCCTCTAAAAATGTCTAATCCTATAGAGGGTTCTAGAATTGTTTTCCTTGCTCAATAATGAATAATTACAATTCAGCCATTACACTTTTAATTAATTCTAATTAATTTCTACTTAATTTAAAATTAATTATTAACTATTTTTTATTAACATATTAATCATATAATATATTAACAAATCATTTTATTTCTTTCCTAATATTACTTCTAACTATTTCTAGTTATGAGGGCAACCCAAAAGGGCTTTGTTTTTATTCATTAAGGCTATACCAATTTAGTTAAGAGCTTATAGACCTAATTCAACCTTCTCGCATTTCAATAAGTTGTCAACTACAATTGCAAGTATATACTTTGAATATCTAGTAAAGTTTTATTTCCAAAGCCACTTCCGAACTCTAATTAACATAGACATTGACCCCATGATAAGTGATCGACTATTCATTCGTTCTTCAAGATTTCATATGGACATGAGACATGAATTAAATAAATCTCATAGTCCAAGATTATGTTTTCGATTTACGATGACTAGATTCAGACTACTAATTAAACACATCAATTTAGTTTGGGCAAGGCCTTACACATAAATGTCAACATCAAATCACTAAGGGGCCCAAAGATATCAAATTTTTATTTAAGGAAAAAGGAAGAAATGAACTTTGGCTATATAATCTATAACAACCCAAAAACAATGATAAAAGTTTTCATTTTAAATTCAATAGTTTCAATCATCAAATAGTTCCAAGTCTATCACATTGTACAATATCCAAAACATTAGAATAAAAGTATCCAAAAAGTGTGGAAATAATGAGGGTAGGATGTTGTGCCATCACGCCGAGCCCTTTCCTTTTGAACTAAAAGTACCTGAAACCATAAACATAAACTATAAGCACAAGGCTTAGTGAGTTTCCCCAAAGTAAGTACCACATACCAAACATACAACTGATCCTATCCCTGGGATAAATATAAACTGTAAGCACAAGGCTTAGTGAGTTTCCCCAAAGTACCACATATGACATTGGTGCCTTCGACCCACAGGTACAGTGAGAAGACTCACTTCTGACAGAAGATAACTGTAGCGTACACTCGAACTGCTGCTAACACGACTACTTACACTAATCATAACCCAATAAAAACCCTAATTAATAATTGGGGTTTAACCCACAAATAATGGTCCAAAACATAATTAATCCTACCAAGGGTGAAATACCATTTCCCCCCACACATAGCCCAATCAACCAAAGCCCAAATCCCTAGTGACCCAAGCCCAAAATGGCCTAAAAGCCTTCCTGGGCGTACGTCCAGCGTATATCGTGTTACGCCCAGCTTACATCGTGTTACGCCTAGCGTACAGCTCATCCTCAGAAGGCTTATAGGGTCGCAACTAGGTACGCCCAACGAACCCTTCATTACGCCTAGCATACTCGACAAGCTTCAAAAACTCTATTAAGGTCTTAATACCTTAATTCTTTACGTCCAAACTTAATATCCACATCTAATGAATGTTTGGAACATAAAGTTGCAAACTTTACGCCTTTACATGGCTACAAGGAGTCCAAAATCATGTTGGATTAGGTGTCTAAGCCCATAAATATATTTGGTATGTACCTGAGTTGATAGTAGCACAGTCCTTTTGGGTTGTCTTGTAACTTGACAAGATGACTTTTGGATAGAAGTTGAATTTATTAATTGGAATAATAAATTGATATAAATAATATATTAATTAGAAATCATGTTGTTTAATTAATATTTAATAAGAAATTAATTTGAAATTAATTTTGGGATAAAAGGAATTAATTAAAAGTATAGGGGCTGTTTTGCAAATCATTGATAGTTGTGAAACTGGGCTCTTGGACTCCTTGGATAGGAGTGGACGAAATTTATAGGGAGGCCCTATAAGATTCCATCCATAGCTCCTAATTAGGAAGTCCATGGGCTGCTTAGGCCTTAAGCAGGAAATTAGGGTTTCCTTATACAAACCCTAGCTTTGGGACTAAGTTACCTCAAGTATATAAGGAACCCTAGACTTGAGATTTTTGGCTACTTGTTGCTTAACCTAGTATAGCCGAAATTTCAAGAGTGTTCCCTCCTCTCTCTCCTCCCATCCTTTGCAAGAGTGTTTGTAAGCCATTCAATGTGCAACATTTGACGCACTAACTACCAACAGTTCAAGGAATAATTTTTATTACTAAATAACAATTGAAGTATGTGTCTAAATCCTTATTTTCGATTTTTACAGATGTATATTAGGGTTTCTTCTCTGTATTCAAGTTTTCCTGTTTAACTAGTGAAAACCTAGATCAAATTCTTTAGGGTGCATGAACACATAGGTCGTGTAGATATGCTCAATACCCATTAGTGGTATTAGAGACTAGGTCGTTTTTTAGTTAAGTTTGTTT